CCGCATACACCAAGACCAGACTTCCATTAGAGTGCTTGTCCGCCTCAGCCAGTTAAGAACATACACGTTAGAGATTTCCTCTGGTCAAGCTGACTTCATGTTGGTTCCCCACACTCTGAATGAATGGGATGGAGATTTTGTTTGATTGAATGCACTGGATTTTGATCATACAGGAGTAGTATTAGTAGAATATTGAGTATCTGCCAATACCAAGTCCCGATCGTATACTTCACACTGCACACTTCAAGTACATTAAAGTTATTAAATCAATCTTGTGCTTGATAATAGCTTTTGCATTGCATTAAGAACCAAAATGCCTTCACTGAAGCTGTTCCTTAATGGTATTTTTTCTTCCCTGTAATCTTTTTGCCTCGTCACTGTCTGGAGGGAGTTTCTCTCTCCAGTGTTTGGTGCTTCGATGCCTCCTTTACCTGAGTTACCTTAATAAACTGTCTGTATACTGTTGAGATTTTATTTTCGTTGTCTCTAAATCTTTTGTGCAAAGTACATTAATTAATTACTCTTACTGGCTTTTTGTTTGCAGGACTTTTGTTGCACTTGCAGTGGCGAGTGTGGCTGTGTCGGATCTCTACCGCTCTCTCCTCCAAGTACAGGCAACACCCGCCCGCGGTACAACTCCACATTTGGGAGGGCTGCTCCTGCTCTCTCTCTCTCACACACACAGAGCAGTGTGGCGGAAAGAAACAGCAAGAAAGATGACGATGGCTGCACCATGCATGAAAGCTTCGTGAGTAAAAACAGCTGTATGGCAGCTGGCGTAAGACAGAAGATCGGATCGGATCAATACAGCTCAACATAGCCGATACCGATTAGTTAAAAATGCTTTGATTGGTGCTGATGCCGATCATTGACATCCCTATACATGAGTCATTTCAGGATGTTTGTGACAAATATTTGCCCAATTTTACAGATACTTCTTTTGTCATGATTATGTATGGGTCAATGTATTTGTTGGCCACTATAAATCATGTCATTCTGTTATACCTCCAAAAACTCATCTGTTCCTGAGGGTTTGGTTAACATGCATTATCTGATGTGCTCCTGACCTGCGCTTAATGCTCTTCATACGATAATGCTCCAGTTTTGGTGCACAGAGGTTTCTTTTATAGATGAGAATTGAGTTTCAGTTAGCAGACATTTACACAATTACTCAAATGAAACAAGCAAAAAGGACGAGATAATGACAGAGTGTGCATCAACTGAGAAAGAAAAACAACTGAAACTGCAACAATTCTCTATGAATATGAATGCACATGTTTAAGCAAACCATTACAAAGGTCTACAACTCATATCATACACCGGTCCCTGTATGGAAAGGGTATAATACATCATCATACAAGTCCAGTTCATATCCCAATATCACATACAACAGCTCCCAACTAGGCCTAAGCTTTCAAAGCTCTTGAGAAAACACAATGGGACTAACAAGCAGAAGGCTTGTTCGTCTCTTATCTCAGCAGTCCTTTTGTGTAATTTTCAATAGGCTAATCATTCAGACAACACCAAGTTAAAAAAATAAACAACTGAAGCAATATTATTCTTCTCACAGGAAACAGGGATAAAGCCTATCAAAAGCACAGGCTACTCACTTAACTTTACTTGTACGTCCAAAAGTACAATAAACTCACCTTAAGTAGCCAACTTAAGAAAACTCCAAGGGACACCTGTTAATTTGTTATCTTATTAGTCCCTTTGTTCAATTTTGAAAAGATTCATCTCGATAATGGTGAACTAACATAATATAAAAGCAAGAGAAAACAGGCACAAACCTGAGCTATTGAAAGTATGGGGCTTGTTCAAATCAAAAGTCAAATTAAACTTACCTTAACAATAAGACACAAGTAAACATGCTTCATCTCAGTCCATTCATCATTTTGACAATAACACAAATTGTGGGTATTTTGATTTGTAAAGATATTTGGAAATACAATGAGTGACAAAAAGGAACTTCAGATTGTGTTATATTGAGCACCTCTTGCCAACCAGAAGCAGTAGTTGGCTACAAGCTGTCATTTATGGAACTCTCAGGGTACACACGTGACACACACAAAAACACAAAATGGTACTGCAACAACTAAACAGACAAACACTGCCACACTTGGAATCGAATAATACATGCAAGCCGTGTCAGCGTTGCACTCTTGATGCTTCAGTTCTGCAGCACTCCAACCGTGCATTGTACTGTAGCTGAATATAGCCAAATATTTTGCTGCTGACTTGGATCAGTTCAGAAAATTTAAAGTTAGACCGCTAACTATAATATGAACATCCATGAACTGCACCAAGGAGATCCAGCGAACATTACTATATTCTGTGTGAAACTTTTCAATAATAATTTTACTGTTTGCAAGTCTCATAAGGGCTGGGTCGTAAAATCAAATGAGTCCTGAATCATGGTTGTGACTGTGGGTAATAATGGTTATGACAATAATGTTGAAGGTTGACTGCAACAAAGGGACAGTGATTGAAAGTATCCTACCGTGGTCTGTGATTTTACAAGACACAAGATAGAGCTCCTTCAGACTTCTCCCCTCCTTGGCGATGATTTCCACACACCTACAGAGAGACACAGGGAAAGAACAACTGTTTAAAGTGTCACCTGAGGCATCTGTGTTCTGCATATTGCATTTCAATTTAGCTTGAAGGCAATTCGGACCTGTCAAAAGAGCTGAAATGCATGCGCATATACAGCGGCTTTCTGTCTTTTCTCTTAAATTCCCTCTGTTACAAACACGCACACAGGATTATTCCGCAGTAAAGGTTAAACAGTACAGCTGCAGGGTCATAACTGTTCACATATCCTGCCTCTGCTTCTTTTAACACACACATTAATAATTAAACACCTGATCTGATTAAAGAAGCATGCACTAAAACAGCAGGAGTATATGTGTGTGTATTAGTGCATATGAGTGCGTACTTAGACACACGCACACACTCACACACACATAGTAAGCTTGCTCACTTCAAAGAGGGATATCTGCATTCAGCCCGGTGCCTGAGCCCAAAGGACTTACAGAGTGTGTGTGCGTGTGTGTTTGAGAGAGAGAGAGAGAGAGAGAGAGTATACACCAGGGAGGACTAAGGGAAAGATCAGAGTATCTGTATCAAATGATTCTCTTTAAATGCCTCTAATGAGAGGAGTGTGTGCAACAACTAGATTTTGATCAACGCATTTGACCTATTAACCTTCAGGAGAAAATGTTTTGATCTTTATGCTGGTGTTCTATCATGAATATTTATGAGACAAAAAAGACAAGCACACACACAGAGACACACACACACATTAATGTGAAAGCAGAGATGGGCAAAAAAGTTGTGATGCTGAGATGTCTTCTATTGAGCTTCATGTCGAAGTGAAAACGGGGAACAATATTGAGTTTTGGTGCTCGTACACTTTCACGCAATCTGACTGGGGTTATTCTGAAATGCATTGCTCATATTCACTCACTATCCTCTGGCTTATCTCACCACAGGCTAAATGTGATGCGCGAGGACTTGTTGAGAGAATCTGAGCTTCTTTTCTTTCATGTTTTTTTATACCACGTAGCGACTGTCTAGCAAACAAGAGCGTAAATGGGACGCAGATCAACAGAGAATTCCGTACAGCAACATTTCCTCTCGAACAAAGCATGATTTGTAAACTTAGTGTGTTTGCTCCAGAATTCATTTGAAGTGACACAATGCATGGATTTCAGTTGCCGTGTGACATATCACACTGTTGGATCAAGGTGCTGGTGAGAGAAAAGTAAAAATGTGTGTCATATTTCTAACATCCTTATTTCTGAGTGGAGCCAAAGTTGTTAAAATGTGCATTGGCCTGTCTGCTTTAGTTCACTGGGCTGCATCTTCATATTTCACATTTTCTATTAAATTGTGTTGCCCTGTGAGCCTCTCCATGTTATCAGGTTGTAGTACCATTTCCTTGTCCTCCCACCTCTCCCTGTTTATATTTCTCCCTGCCTTTTAATCCATCCCACCCTTCTTCCTTTTTCTATCTTTTTCTCTCTCTCTGTGGCCCACATGGGGAAAAAAATAATGTTGTTAAAAAAAGACCTGTTGTAAATGGTCATTCCTGACCCAACCTTGTGCTGTGGCCGGCCTTTAGATTACATTCAGTTAAGCCAGCAGGATCACAATATCATGCTGTGTGTCTTGGGGCTATGGCATTAGAGCTGCTAATGAATGAATGCACTGGGAAGAGTTGGTGAGGAAACAGAAAAAAAAGAAAGTAGCGATTCAGGGATGCAGCGACGAAGGCCAAGGCGGAGAGCATCCTCTGGGAGCTTGTTACACTGTGCCCAGGGTCAGAGCAAAAGCAATTAGATCAGACATCAATGAATGAGGGAGGGAGTGAGGAGAGGTGGAAAGCGAGTATAGCAGGAAACAGAGTGAGTAGAAATCTCTGTACAGTAGCTGGAGGTTGAACAGAGACAGAAGGGGTACATCATGGGAGACTGACAGAGCTAAGGAAAACATTGGAGAAAAAGAATAAAGAGTAAGAGGCCTTAATAAGGCCAGAGTGAAGGGAAATAAGAGGATTGAGGAGACAGCAGAGGAGACGAGGGAGGACGGAGCAGAGGTGTGGGATGTGATGGCTAAGGCCTGGTTCACGCCACATGAAAGGCCTTCAAGAAGCAACAAGCTCCCACCCACCTCCACTCAAACCCCACAAGGCTCAGCTGACATGAATTAGTGATCTGCTCGCTTTCAATAATGTACAGAGCCTGTGACAAAAGCCCCAGTCGGACGCGGTGCGCATACTGAACATTTAGCTATGCGATGCTACAGGAGACAACGCTGAGAGGTGAACATTAGGATGCAGAGTGGAAAGAGCAAGTCAACAGTGTGGCAAGGTGGTTGAGCAGGAGAAGCTGCTGGTGGTGATGAAAAAAGGAGGAATAAGCAGTGAAAATTAGGATGAAGAGAGGAATGAGGGTCTTTGTAGAAAGAGGAAGGAGTAATATGGAAAAGACTGATGAAAAGAGGCACAATGCGGCTGATGCTGGTGTGTGGGATGGAGGATTAGGAAAGGAGGATAGAAGGAGGAAGTGATGAAGTGACAAAGAGACACAGTAGAATCATGATGATGAGGATACAATATGAGATGCAGGGATTGAGGAAGGGTTGAGGAAGAAAAACAAAGGCTGGGAGACGTGTCAGAAAATCGGAGAGTAGATATTCAGGAAAAAAAGAAGTGAAGTGAAGAGAGGATAAGTGGAGGAGGAAAGGAGGCAGACGGTACAAGATGACAAAAATGAAGGGTAAGTTGAGGGGAAGGTTAATTAGGATGATTTAGAACAATAACAGAAAAATTTGCAAAAGGGAAAGAGTGCAAGAGGATGAGAGGTAAATGACGATGACAAGTGAAAAAGGCGAGAAAGTCAAGCAAGTTGTCGAGGGCAGAAGATGCTCTCACAAATATTATAGATGCATACAAAAGACCAGAGGAAGCCTTTTGTTACAGTTATAGCGAGCTAATATACAGCTCAAGGCCACTTTTTCCAATAAAATGACAATAAAACAGTTACCATGACAACTAAAGGACTGCATGTTTAAGCGATTAGTGTAACCGGCAGGCAGGAGGGAGAGAAAGGACCCAGGGAGGGAGCCTCATCAGGGGTCAGTGTGTGTTTGGCTCACTGTCATCGCGCTGTCGGCACAAACAGCTAGAGGTAAACAATAAAACTGTCACTACGCGCTCTATCTCATTCTTTCAGTCCCATACAAACAAAATCAAACTTTGTTCGGTTCTTGGCATGTCTGGGATTCAGGGGAAATTTCTCTTCCCTAAACAAAGTCATACACACATTTTCTATCTAAATTGAATTACTGAACCCACACAACTGGACCTTGAGGACTTTGCTTAACCCTAAAACATCTTTTATATTTAATTTTATTTTCTTGCCAGCCAGCTAATGCTGCCTGCCAAAGAACTTAGCCTTTGTTCAACTCCACACTGAAGGGCAAGAGGCTGAATTATAGTAAAAAAAAAAAGAAAAGAAAAGAAAAGAAAAAAGATTTGGTCTTAACTGATATAACACACAAGAGAGAGAGGGTTGTTACTCAGTAACCAAGGTAACATTCTGTAGAGTATTCATAACAAGTAACAATTTAATAATCTCTCTAAAACATCTTAAAGAGGTGCAAATGCAGCTATATATTTTCATAACATCAGGAGAAAAAATACAGTAATTTGCATTGGTGATACATAATTGTTCTTCCCTTAGAGTTTTTAAGAAGAAAATTCAATTATGATACTTTGAAACCATGGTAACTACATCGCCGCTAATTTATCTTGTGATTAATGAAAGCATTTTCCCGGGTCTTTACATGTAAATGAGGCCCAAAGGTATGACAAGCTAAGTAGTGTAGATTAAGGTGGAAATGCCACTCACTGAGGAGTCTAGACGTTTTTTTTAAACATTAATTTTTACTTTCCAGAATTAAATTTGCTTTTGGGCCATATTTGTCCAACCACTGCTCATTGGCATTGCAAAACTCCAACCAGTACATTAGCCCAGAGAACATTATTTTAGGTTTTAGGAACTACTGTGGCCTGACTACTACTCATTTCTATAAAGCAAATAAAATGGGCATAGTTCATCTTATTAAAATGTTATGTATATGCACTAAAGAGCATTATTGTAAAGAGCATTTTTTAATAACTCTGAGAAGCTCTTGAATAATAAAAGGAAAATGATACAACAGCATCACCAGTGGGAATAATTCATATTTATACTATACTGAAGGTTAGGAACATGGACTTTCAAGTGAAGGCCAACGTAGTGATGTTCACCTTTGTCCTTACAGCACAGAGCTTTAGTGAGTCATCAACACCTCAGAAGACCAGCAAAGCCTTTTTTTAAACATTACTCTGTCCATCTGCTGTAATAAGGGCAATTTTACAGCCTTGACCAGTGTTTGAAGCATGAAAGAAAAAAAAAAAGAGGAGTAGCACTTATAAAATCATCGAGCAAACAGCAGATTACCTCTTCTATCTGAGCTCTCTGCCGTGCTTAAACGCTGCCTTATACGACAACTGGCCTTTGACTACATTTTATTTGTGTGCGTGCGTTTTGTTGTACAACCAGAGGTTAAACTTTGACAAAGCCTAGCGATCAGCCCTTAATCCCAGCTCACTGTTTGATCAATCTTAATCTCTTCTACAAGCTTGTTACCGTGGTCATACTTTAAATTAGAAACCTTTAATGGTTATTTAAGATTTATATTGTGCGATGCAGGCTCATTTTTGTTATTTTTAATTTCTATTTATTTAGTATTTTTTGATTGGCATCCTGTTAATAACATAGTCTAATTAAACAAAACTCTAGAGCGTGTTTTCAGTATCCAATCTGCTGTTAGCATTACATCCATCTACAGAAATCACTCAAAATATACTGTGCATTGATTCTTGTGCAATTTGTTTTTTACTTCAACATTGGAACATAGATGTGCACATACAAATCCAACCACTTTATTGAACAATGTCCATACACAGCAAACAGTCTACAGCAAGGTTCAACAAGGACATGTGGGACAAGAAAGGAGGGACAAAG